CTTTGCTAAATGCCAAACATCGAAGTTGTGTTTGATGTGCGGCCTCTCATTTTTCATCTGCGCTCTGACTTGCACGTGCCTATCTGTAGCAAGCTTTGCAATAGCCACTTGTTCCTGTTGTAGGTGATCTAGGCAACGTTTTAGGCCCTCCAACTCCATCGCATTTGAATTTTTGACCTCTGTTACCTGGACCAGAGAGAAGTCAAGAACTTTAGATGAAGCTGTGTTCACAATGCTGTACGTACCGTATTTAGCCGAGTGGCCTGGGCTGTCACGGCGACCATCACCTCCTGCTACCACCTCGGTGTTTCTCACTTCGTTAAGAATATCCACTTGATGCTCAGCAAATGTTTTGTTAACAATGGGGAAGAGGTACTTTTTCTGAGTAGAGCTAAAATTTCTCTGGCTAAAAAATTGGACGTTAGTTGCCTTTGTAAAATTAGCAATATTGCTGTAATCGTTGCCGGTAAATAGAATTCCAGCGCTGAACAGCAAATTTCCAGCGGCCACTGAACTTACAAACGGCTGTGTTTGCCATCGTAATGGTTGATCATAGCAACCAAGGCATTCAATAGTCGCAAGAGATCCCTTGGTTTTTAATGATGCTTTTTCCAAGTTCCGTCCACAGTTTGGACAGTGCACGTCACGAGAAAAAAGCTCTTTTAGTTTGCTTTCAAATACCAAGAACTTTCGCTCTTGGTGAAGATCACCGCAATCTTCATTAAAACAGTTCGTGGACTCCTTTTCCTCGTCATCGTCAGGAATTTCAGTTTTTGTGTCGAAATCCTTGGCTTTCGGAGTCGAAACTTTCACTAAATTCGTTAACTTCGTAATCACTTAGGTCCGATATGTTCGATTCTTCATGATCTGACACATCGGATGGAATCCACTCATCTTCAACTTCCTCTTCTTGGCAGTCAATTTGAGGAAAATCCGATGTGTCAATTTCGGAGAAATCCTACGTCCTCTTGCATTTTGGAAAATCTTTTCCAGAAACCCTAGGGACTTGCTCAGCGGGCACAACAGGGGAATCACTTAAGAGAGCGGCATAACTGTGGTCATTCGCTACAGCGTGACGAACGTCTGCTAAGGGAATGGAAATAAATTTATGAGGTGAATGCACAACAAAAGGTAAATCTGTTTGACAAGCTCGGTCGACCATTGTTATTTCAGTGTCAGTAGAGGCATCCACCAAAAGTATCTCCGAAATAGGTAGTTTCTCCTCTTCCTTTGTGGTTTTTCTTTGTCACCGAAAGTCTGACTGACATTGTAATCAGGAACCGCAGAAGTCATGACATTTGTATCTTGAAAAGGCTGCCCGACTTTCGCTCTGGATTGGCTCGACTCTTGCGAATTACTATCACAAGCATCCAGTATTTAATTGAGGGCCTAAAATAGCGAACACAAATTTGTGAACGAAAGATAATTTGTTTAAAGCTTGCTTACCAGAAAAGTAACACGGCGGCCAAAAGGTCATATCAGGTCATATCAGTAGAGTCAGTTTTATTCCGCGAATACATGACTTACCTCTTCGTGTAGAGCTCTTTTTCTTCGGCGCTCGCTGGACGGCCTTAGGCTTAACTTTTCCATGTGTTGAAACACAGTTGGAACGGCATCCTCTTTTAAGCGACGTCTGCTTAAATTGTCTGGCAAAATATCTAGTCGGTACTCACTTTCAAAACACGCGGGCTCAAAGTGTTCGGAACAGACGTGGCAGTGCTTCATTTGGGGCAAATTTTCCCTCTTTATCTGAGCAAACCATTTGCTTAAAAGGCCTTTATCTTTTAAAGGAAGGCGATGAAAGCTTATTCCTCCTTTAGAATCTCTAGGTGATCTATTGGAACAGCCTACGGCAATGCAGTGAATCATTTTCCATCCGAACAAGACAATTAAATTTGGCGCGAACGCAAGTGAGCGCAATGACGTCCTGCCATGCAGCCCAGCCTCCAACATGGCGGTCAAAATGGCGGACCTACATCGTGTGAATGTCATGAGCTATTTTACAGTCAAAACGCGTTAAGAAAGGACAAATACGGACAAATACTGCAATTTTTACTCAAAGCAAATAATTTGCTCTGTTGCAAATATGCAACGATAACTTGGTTTTTCACCTTCCGTTCTCCTTTAATTTCTATCAATTGAATCCAACTCCACATATTCTTTTACGTCTCTTCGCCTTTAGAAGTCGAGGGCTATTCTGATATCGATGGAGTTGTGTCGTAGCCCGAGTCAAGTACGAGTCAAGTTAAACTTCTCTTTTTTTTAGATTTTGTTTAGTCTTTTGGCCTTAATAATAATAATAATTGCTGTGTGTAAAAGTGGTGCACGAGAGGTTCACGAACAGACTGTCTTTTAGCTTTTTATCACTGCCGATTGTGAGAGTTAATAATTCCTGCCTTGATTCGCAACTGCTTTTCAAAGAAGTAAACATTCCTCGGGCGTTTTCCGTACGGATTCCGACCTCTATTAATAAGACACAACTAAGACAGAAGTTCCATTTCAACGAAACACCGTGAAAATGAGGTGAAGAATGAAAATGTTAGCATTTCTCGGGCCTTGTGCACCATCTTATTGCATTCACATCCGTACCCCCGGCGGAAAATTGCAGGAGGATTTTGTTTTTTGTCTTTTTGTTTTTGTTTTTGTTTTTTTTTCTGTAAAACACGTATTTGCTTCATTAAAATAATCATATCCAACGTATTATTCCCTTGTGTGCGGTTTTTTCGGAAAAACAATTCTCGGCAAAATTAATAGATGGCGAGGCTCAGCGAGGAATACCGGTAGCTTTAACATATACTGTTTCAAAATGCAAAATGAAATCTCCGCTTTGCGATCTCGTCAGCAGTGGAAAACAGTTTCGTGTCAAACCAAACTGACGCTTTTTTACAAAGACACAGTCAAACGATACAGTCAAACGATATCATAAAGAAGGAAAAGTGAGATTAAAAAAAAATGGCTCGTGATTCGAATTTGGTGAGGTTGACATGGGCTCCAACTCGACACGTGCAACGATTTAGCTCCGCACCGACCTTGCCTAGTTAAGTCGGGAAGGAGGAAGACCTCTCGCGACTTATCTAGGTCTAGGCGTTTCCGCTCGCAGGGTATTAGGATTTGAGTTATTACAAACATCTTCATTCCTTCATTGTACTGAAAAAACATTCTTGAATCAGAGAATAGAAATTGCTTACACGAGAGCAGGCCCCAAACTGACCAAAATGTTCGCGAGTACGCGCCAAGCGATCTCCTGACCTCAGTGGAGAGTCAGAAAGAAAAAACCGTCCAGCATCTAAAATGGCCAGTAAAACAAGTCATTTAGTGAGTGATTTCCAGCAGAAAACAACTGCAATAGGCCCTTTACACGATCTGGTCACATGGTACAAAATCACACATGCTGGGACGTAAGGTGCACCGTGGGACTTCCAAAACAAAGCAACTCGTACCAGTCCACCTTGACCTGTCTCTTTTTGGAAGTCCCACTGTGCAACTTGCGTCCCAGCATGCGTGATTTTGTACCATGTGACCGGATCGTGCAAAGGGCCTCTTTGAATTCGTAGTTCGCTGTACAAATCATTTGAGCCTATGGCAGTGGTCAGTCGATCAGTGGTTTTCTGCGAGTTCTCATCAATAATTCAACAGTTGCACGTTGGCGAAGTTGTAATAGTTTAGCCCGGGCCCGAGAAGTCCAGAATTCTGGAAAGAAGAATGTGGCATAATGATTAATTTATTCAGTAGGAAGTTGCAAAATACGGCTAGGCGTTCTTTTCTTTACTTTGTTTGTTTTTTCCTCACCTAAGGCGAGAGAAAAGCGAATTGCTTATGGATATCTCCTTTGTATATTTTCCTCAGGCGATACTTGTCAGACAAGGAGCTTTTTCGTAAGATGATTATCAAAGCCCAGGAAATTGAAGGAACTCGAAAACTTATTGGGGGCAGCGGATTACAAATTGGCAAGCGATTTGCATTGGATGGGTGTAATGTTCTTGCTGCTGCTGATTCCTCTGCAGAGTTACTGGAGATGCTACCTGAGAATTTGACTACAACGGGAAACACTGTGGATGTTGATGATGTCCATTTGCTGCTGGAATATCCTGCGCACTTTCCCTGGGGAAATTATATGTCACAAAGAGCTAACAGGTTGGTGCTACATAGTGATGAACACAATCCTTACTTGAAATCAATGGAAAAATTTCAGGAGAAATTAAAATACTTTTCGCCATCAATATTGGTGGTTGCTGGTCTCCAAAGGCTGGAAAACTTTCCAGTCTTTAGTCCTGGTGACAGTGGTAAACTTTTAGAAAAGCTGTCATCTTTCCTTGAGACTGTGGATGTTCCAATCCATTTTGAAATGGCATCGTTCCACCAAGAAACGTTCTTTGATGAACTTTTACAGTACGTAATACCTTATTCAAGTTCTATTGGCATGAATGAACAGGAGCTTCCTAACTTATGGAGTAAACTCCTTTATGGAAACATTACAGTTGTTTCCAGTCAGAAACCAAGGGTAGCAAAAGTGCTGGATCTCATGAGGGATGTTTATAAGATTTCAAGAGGGAATTATGGGAAAGGAAGAAAGAGGCAGCTGACTCGATTGCATGTCCATACTCTTGCTTTTCAAGTGATTCTAACCACCGAAGGATCACACTGGAAAAATACTAAGGCAGCTGCTGCAAAAGCTTCTCTGACGGCAACGAGGCATGTCTGTGGCTCAAAGGAAATTGATCCCAAGAAATCTAAGTTATTTATGGATGATTCATTTTCCAAGAGTATAGCTCCAGGTAGCCCTAGAGTTCAATTCGATTCCAATTCACCTGTGTCTTGCTGGAATGAGGAAGATTACAAAATTTGTGTTGCTCCAGTGTTAGTTTGTACTCAAGTGTTGCAGACAGGAGGTGGTGGTGACCATATTACAGCAGGAGGCTTGGTATTACAGATTTAGGCTGTATACTATTATTTGGGTTTAACACTACTCTCACTGTTTCTGAAAATAAATAGAGATTACTGCACGGTAATGTTCACAAAAGACCGTGTTTGACCACATTTCCAAACATCGAGAAGATAGTTGAAAATACGA